GAACAGTGGTCTGTCCATTGAAAATAATTTTCGCTTTGCCTGACTCTTCAGAGAGGTTGCCAAACACAATATCATATTTGTGCAAAAGTGTGATGCTCTGTGAGTGGAGGATGGGGGAGGGGGCTGTGTGGTTGGCGTGTCGCTCTTTCACATTGAGATTCTGCAGACGAAAATAGTGTGGATAACTTTTAATCCCTATGATTTAAAAAAGGACCTGTCGTGGCTTATTTTAAGATATTCATTACCGAACTGCAAGATTGAGGAAAGAACCGAAACGTCGATATATCTTTTTTTTAAAAAAGGTCCGCTGTCGCTTTTACTCAGTCCCTTCTTTTAGATTATTTTTAATTCGCAGTCCATCTCAGAAACAATTTATGCGTTGTGATAGATTGACACGCATCGTCTGCATATTGCTCGTGTATCTTAATACAGTGTTAACAATTTTGCTTCCAGTTGTATGGTGACGTTAATGATCATATATTCGAGATCTTCGTAATCTAAATCTCATAAATAACTTATTCCATGGAACAAAGTCTTCCGTGAGGTTCTAATAGTCTCTCAGTATATTTCCATGTTTACAAGAGCTGGCCCCCTGGTCTCTGGTCTCTGCTCTGAGCCATTTTAATCCAGTCTGTACCCTGTTTCTTTAAGATCCATTTTAATGTAATCTTCCAATCTGCGTCTGCATCTTTCCACTTTCCTTTTTTCCCGATTATTTTTTTTATGTATTTCGCGGGTTCCCTTGCTTGCTACCTGTCCTATCCATCTCAATCTCCGTCATTTCATAATCCTGATGCTTTTCGTTGAAGAGGGTAAACTTGTAAGTTCTTCGTTGTGTATTTGCGTCTGTTCTCCGGGTACTTCCTACTTCATATAACCTCCTCAGAACTTTGTAATCGTAACTCCGTATAATCTAATTAGCAATTCCGCATACCGTATTTTATAGTAGTCATATGAGACATGTTTCTTTTATACTCTAAATTGTGTCAGGTACCATACGGGCGTGGAAATTAAACGTCGTCTCCGGACATGTCAAAATTACGACGACGACGACGACAACAACAATAATATGTAGGATGGAGGCAGCAAGGACCTCTTAAACGTCGGTTAACTTCTACCAGACTACACGGCGCAAAAACCCAGAAGACTGCAGTCTTCAACAACAGTAATAATAATTATTATAATAATTACATTAATATAGATGTATAACTTCAGCGAAATCCGAAGGATGAGAGATACAGCAGAAAAGCACCAGACCCTGAAATGTTTTGCAGAATACTTTCGTCTCCTTGGTGCTGCTGTAGTCAGTGTGCCAGTGTCGTTGGCCCACCGTCGCCTATATTTGGATTGCGACGCCTACGTCAAGCAGAGCTGTTTCGTGCGGTTTTCTTCCGCGTCCATTACTAGAGTTTTGTCCGAATACTTGTAGGTCTATCATCCGATATGTCGGTATCCACCCAGCGCTTTCATCGTACTTAGGAAGGTATGTTGCTCTTGAGCACAGAGGCTCAGTGGGACTACTTTACTTACCGCGACGTTTTGTAGCATTAATATTTATTTATTTAATGACTACGTGTTTGTTATCCCGTTGACAAAATTTATGAACAGCATTGTTGCCGTAGTGTCTCGTGCCGTAGCCGAGTGGTCTGAGGCATCATGCTTCGGACCGGTGAATGCGCGCTGGTTCGAGTCTCGGGGGAGAAGAAATTTTCTCATGAGATTTTCGACCGGTGTATGGGACCGGTGCCAACCCAGCATCGTGAGGAAATTGGGGAGCTACAATGGGTAGCGTAATCCGGTCAGGAAAGCTAGCAATGACTGGGGGTTCGTCGTGCTGACCACACGTCACCCTATATCTGGTTGGATGATCGTTCACCTCTGCTTAGGCATGTGAACGTGAGGCCAGCAGCCAGCTAGTCGGCTTTGGCTCTCAAAAGGGCGGATTATTATTGTTGTTGTTGTTGCCGTAGTGCTTCATATCATTCATTGCTCTCGTTGTCTTATCTAACGAGATTGAAAAGGCGCAATCCGTTCTTGATTACACGCCTCCCAGAGGGATTTATGCTTTTTTTGAATATATATAGGCCTTTATGAAAGTACATTGTGGCTGCTGAGTTAAAATAAGTCCGGTAGTGACTGTTCTTATACGAGAATTTCTACTAAAATAGCAAGTTAACATATATGTTGTTATTTGTAGACCTACTATATTATTAAGTGTAAACAGAGAATCCAACGGAATGAAATTGCTTAGTGTCGTCTGAATGTGGCTGCTGTCATGTCCCGTTTTGCATATGTTTTCGGAAGGGTATGCATACATTATTCTATCAGCATTAACTTTGTTGTATATACCCTCGATTGTTCGTGCCGTCACCATGTTTGTAATTGTAAAATTATATTTTAGACATATTGACATGCAAAATATTATACGTGTAACTCCAGTAATTCATTAGTCGTAGCAGTGAAAATATTCGCACGACCGCTGTGTTGTTTTGCATGTTATGGAATGTCAGCCCATAAGGTGGAAGCGATATATTTCTCCGAAACGTTGGTATGCAGACAGAATACTGCACGGCGAAACAGCCCATAAGACCATTTACATGCCTACACTTAAATTGTTGCGTGAATTTACTTTTCATACGTGTCGGTTATGTAATATGTACCGTGCAAGAAGCCAAGTCGGAACTTTGAGCTCAGATACGACCTAATTGTGCTACTTTAAGTGGTTTGTATTGAAATTGTTACGTAACGTAAAGTATAATTATTGTTAACTTGAATTTGAAACTGTTTTCGTTATGGAGTACTGTTAATGAAGTGTTTCGGAAATATTACAACTCATGTTACCTGCAGTGTGTTTAGCAACAGTGGGTATACGTCTGCAACAAATGAACAGCAAAACCAATGTATTCACAACTGTAGTCAACATGTTTGGAAATTGTATGCTTCAAAGTGGGCTATAACATTTACACTTGTCTTATTTATCATAATCGCTAACCTCACAGGTTAGCATATACACTAAATTATTGATTTCTTGTTGTCTAATTGCCTTGCTAAAAATAGTTCATGACGACTTTGCATTAATTTTATAATTATTAACCATCGTTGTAGTTTCAATTGCTGCTAGAAGAGTCGGTGTCTCCTGGTAGGATTGTTGGCTGAAGAGCTCTTCCTGCTTTTCTTGTGTGCAAAAGCCCAGAACATGAGAGACTCTTGTATGTTCCAGTCATTGATAATTGTTTCAGAATAAATTCTTTTCAGCCGTAGGACTTTGTTTTCGGCTGTAGCCCGTAGGTATGGTGGGTTTGGGCTCTGTGCCAGGATTACATTTTGAGAAACTCTTGCTTGATGCACTCTGTCTTAATCTTAAGAACCACTCTTTTAAGAGACGAGCAGTTCATGTCGTAAGTCTGAGTTCAGGCCATTCACTTTAATGCTCTGTCTTTGTGTGTAGAGGTAATGTTATATTGAATACATCAAAAGACATGTTGTTCTTATGAAAAATGTTTGTCTTATTCTTCTGATATCTGTAAGTAGATCTCTAAAACAACATAGGGTGTTGGGAGAAATTACTAATTCGATTTTGATAATCTTGGTTCCATCCCATCGTGCACAAATATTCCAAAAAGCACCAAAAGATTACAGTTTTCCAACTAGGACTGTAAAAGTATCTGTTCGTTTGAAAGATTTTTATGAAAATGCGTCTTCTGGGTTGTTGCACCGTGTACAATAGTTTGGTGAAAGATGACTGGCATTTCAGAGGTTTTTCAGGGCTGTCGCTCAGATGATGGAGGCAGCGAGGGCCTCAGAATTGTTGGTAAACTTTTACCAGACTGCACGGCGCAACAACCCAGAAGACAGCAATCTAATGTTATAGTACTTGCAGCAAGCCAGATTTCATCTCGGGGGCGATAAACTTGTGTTGAACTTGTCACGATTAGTCCTTCGATTTCTGTAGATGTTATTCTCTGTTTATTGTAACATGCGTTACTTCGGTTTTCGGGAATGAGCCGCATCTAATTTTATACGTTTTTAAACATTTCGGCAAAGATCACATTCGACGCGGCTTATCCCCGAAAGTCGGAGTTGTACCTTGAACTCACGCCACGATAACCTAAGAACCACCGTCATTGTACATACCGTAGGTCTGTATAAAGTTATGTGGTATCACTTTCGTTCTTTTGTGTGTTTGTGTGTTTATGCGTACGCGCGCGTTCGTAATAAATGATGGACCGGTTAACAGCTGGGTTGTGATGTGTATTCCAACTGTGCGTCTGGATGTTGGTATTGCTATTCGATGTGGGGACCTGAAATTGCGTGGTAGAAGATCTTGAAAAGTATTATTTTTTGTGAAGAAAGAAACACGTAAAGTAACATGACTCTGTTGCACAGTAGATCATTTAGCTTTGTGTATGATGACAGGAACACTTATTGCGGCTCTGAATGCGATATTTAGGTGGAGATTGATTTGAAATATCTTGTGTTACTATGATACAAATTAACAGCTCATAATTTTGAGATTATGACATTATTAAATGGAACTGTAGTAGACACGGAGTTGTAAATAGTGTTTTTCCCCCCTGGTGGTACACAATCGTACATTGTACTGTTTGCCATTGTATAAATGAATTTACTGAGTATATGAGGAAACGTGTGAATAGGACTATTTAAGAATTTGTTAAATAGAAATTGTGAAAACACGGAGAGAAAAGAAAAGATTTATTTTGTTTTTTTAAACGAAACTATAAAATGCCATCAACCCTTTGTCACATGTCGACCACTAATTTTTTGTTAAAAGTGGAAGTAATAATTATTAATTTCTTCTAGCCTCTGTGTACATTCGGTTGTAGTACAACGTTCGCCAAGCAGATAACTTGTGGTTCAAGTATCACATGTGTTTATTAGGGTTGAAAAAAGTAACTGTAAATTTTAATTGACTATAGCTTTTATTTATGTGCAGAAGGTTATATGATGTAATTGAGGAATTTTGTGTGTTTATGTTGCAGCACCTGTCATTTCCATCATCTGAATCCAGCAATGGGCAAGCTGGTTTCAACTTCTGCCTTTCTAGCACCGCAGATACTGAGGGGCCTCAGGGAAGTTTTGAGTGCATCCAGCAAACAGTCTCAAAGTATGTGCACACGTGATTTATCGCCTCTTCTGATTTAAAAGGCTGAATGTGATCAAATATTGTTCACCTGCAAAAATTAAGATTCTGGTTTCTGAGTATCTGAATTTTTATTTTCATTGTCATGCCGTGTGGAATATTTCAAGCTGGAAACAGTTCTTAGATTTAAAGAAATCTTAAGTAGTGGTGCACAACACTAATGTTCTGAGAACTGATGATTCTGTTTTAAGCATCTGCTGGAAAAATTTATCTCTAATTGAGTCCACACCCAAACGATTGAGATTCGTCTCGGTATGGAGTGGTTGAGTCTTAAGAGATTCTGGGCATCTTATTAAGATTGCTGGGTCCTGAAAACAGACGTTTCAAGGGCTAAAATACTAATTCATGTTTTGCATAATAACTATGTGGCTGTCTTCTGGGCTTTCCTTGCGACCTCCATCATCAGGATTACAGCCCTGATGATGGAACCCTAAAATATCAGAAAAGGTGTTTTGTTAATTTATTACTTCTTACTACAGCTCGTAGAATTTTAAAAAAATAATTATCTCGCCGTTCCTTTACGTACAAGTCCCGCACATGCTACCTACTTTAAATTCCTATCGTAAAATGTAAGTTCTCCGGGTAAAAATTACGGCGCAATTCCATTAGTTTAAACCAGTGGACTAGATTATACTGTGCGTTCATACGTATGGGTATGATAATTGTTTAACAGTTGGTACCAAATGCTTTTCCAATTACAATTTTTCGTATTAACGTCTTGGACTTGTAAACATCAAAAACAGTTTTACACAAACCTAAAAAAAAAATAAGAAAGAATTCTTGTGGGTTGTTATGCCGTGTAATCTTGTAGAAGTTTACCGATGATACAGAGGTGCTTGCAGCGTACATAATTAGGGCGAAGGAGGCTGCAAGCACATCTGAAACGTCGGTGAACTTCTGCCAGACTGCAAAGTACAACAATCCAAAAGACAGCCATCTTCATGCTTGTCGGTGTGAAAACTTTGTACCTCATTTGAGATTATTTAGCAATATCAGTGTCTCTGTGTATTACGAGGTGCGATCGGAAAGTTTCAGGACTGCGCGTATAAAAACCCGTACACTTATCTCAGGTATTAAATTCATCCATCACCCTCGAAGTAGTTCCCCTGGGAGTGAACACAACGATCCCAGCGCCGCTGCCAAGCCTGGAAGCATCCCTGGAAATCTTTCTTTGTCAGCCTGTCAAGCACCATCTGGGATCGTTGTGTTCACTCCCAGGGGAACTACTTCGAGGGTGATGGATGAATTTAATACCTGAGATAAGTGTACGGGTTTTTATACGCGCAGTCCTGAAACTTTCCGATCGCACCTCGTACAAGCTGTTGCAGGAGCAAATTTAAAATAATGTGTAATTCAATACTAATTTGTGCACTATTCAATAACATTTATATTTGTACATGTACAATGGTATAGGCCGAGCGAGAAGTGCTGGCACTTGCTCAAAGAACTGATTTTGGTCGTATGAGGTGGACCCGTCCGAAATACGCGCTAGAGGGGTGTCAGCTTCAGTTGGTTTATATATCTAACTGTGTTTAGATCTGTACGTCACCGCAGCTGAGGCTGTGCGACCCCCACTACTACTCAACTCCCCTCCCCTCTCTCGGCTTACACATCGCGCAATTAGGTGCCACGAGTACTCGCGCGACCTATATAATCTGTCATGTTTCAGTAAGTGCTGTTAATGATAATGAAAATTGGCTATTACTTTCCAAAAATAGTGCCAGGGCGAGTTTCTTGTCCTTAGGGTGTAACGGGAAAACTATTATTGTCCCGAGGGAAGAAATTTTTGGACCACCCTGATTTAGAAGGTAACGTGTGGTTAACTAATGAAAATAGTTCTAATTTCGAAATCGCAGCACGGACGAAGTTGCGTGTTGTCAGTAGCTCAAAATTCGGACACGAACCCCGGAGCGTTGTGTATGTGCATAGACGTCGCTGCCG